ATGTCGCTATTAATTATCAATTTCTTTTTCAGCTTCCAGTTACTTTAGTCAACGTCTCATAACAAATGACAAAATAGAGGATGAAGATGAAGAAAGTGGTAATTTATCCCCAATTCAAAATCACTGATTTATTGCAGCTTTGTTGTTTCTGAAGAGACCTTGCACCATTCTCAAAATAGTGCTTAAAACTGTCTCCATAATTACAAAACAATTTTAGCACAAAACCTGAATGATTTGACAAATTTTAATTTGCTATAACTTTCCTAAGAGTAGGGTTTCAGATTTATTGTGTTGTTTGCATTTTTACAAACACACAAAATTGTAAAATATTGGGACCCTTTAGGTATTAGTCTAAGCTTTGGAGTTTTAATTCAGAGTTAATTTTTGTGCTCAGTTTTGTGACTGTGGACCTGATGTATGAGTTATGACTATTCACCGCCAGATTTTTTTGCTTCTTTTGATTTTCTACAACTACATGGATATAATTGGAGAAATTGATAATGATAATTTCTGAGTATAACATTTGTTAAACACTTTTCTTATTATTTATGTATTTACCATTCTTTTCAAAGTTTACACAATTGTGATTTGACAAAATTCAATTAAAGAGAGCTATTTGTCAAGGATTGTAAGTTGGTCATTTTTTTTTTTAGTTTCTTGTAGAAACTAACCAGGACCTGTATTCAGAGTGATATAAAAATTAAAATTATTGCTCAAATGTTTTATTAAGTAACTAAAGATGAATATATAATGGAGACATTTTGCATTGTTATCATGAATTTAACTTCGTCAGGTTAATGTTGAAATTTTTTTAGTTTTGGATAGTACATAGCTACCTTTGATCACATATATATTTTTGCATATTAATTTTAAACTTTCAAATTTGAAACTCAAAAATTTATTTTTGAAGAGAAATTTTAATTTTTTTTATTCTATTTGAATGGGTTTTTTTTTCTTTAGCATATACTTAATTCCATATTATCATAATGTCCATCTTCAAAGAAATCTCACAAGTTATATTATTGATAGTTAACACAAGGTCACCTTGAAATCGGGGACATGCATCAGGCCAACCATTGAGGACCTGATTGCTTAGAGTCAGTAATCTCATTATATTTGGAACTCACAAATTGCCCGTGGTAAGAATTAGGACTTGAAAGTTGGAAAATCTCAAACATATACAACTTTTAGGCTCAAATATTTCACTATTTATCCAAACTTCCTTAAAGTAGTAAATATTCACATTTTGTCTCTTCAAGAAAATGTGTTACTGACCATGATACTGATTACAGGATGAAAATAACAGATTTTGACAGTCTATCATGTTAAAGGAAAGATCAATTGATGAAAGAAACTTGAAGAATTTAATAAATTTTAAACTGGTACATATAAATGCAAGATAAAAGTGCTAATTTAGCAGGATCACTTGGTATAAATCTTCTTCTTCTTCTTCTTCTTCTTCTTCTTCTTCTTCTTCTTCTTCTTCTCTTCTTCTTCTTCTTCTTCTTCTTCTTCTTCTTCTTCTTCTTCTTCTTCTTCTTGTGTATTTATGGCTGGTATGTTTTGGGTTTATGCAGTAAGTTAGTTTGTGCAAATTAAACATTGGCAAATAACATCCATATTTATTGCCTGTGTTTTTGCAGAGGAAGAAGACCAGTTTGATGGGATATTTGAGATGTACCCGACCTCGATGAAGAAACTTTATGTTGTGGATGGTGGCCTCACATTCAATTCTCCATTCCCACTTATGCTACGTCCCCAGAGGGGTGTGGATCTCATCCTGTCATTTGATTTCAGTGCAAGGCCCAGTGACACGACTCCACCATTTAAGGTAGGATCCTACAAAAGGGTTTGAAAATGTCTTCATGGTCAAGGGTCTCATTAATGCAATAAAAATCATTCTCATCAATGCAAATTACTAACTGTAAATGCATAGAAAAAGAAACGCATAAAGCCATCACTAAATTAATATATAAGCATATGTACTTTTTATTCATATTGTAACATACTGTATTTAAAAAATTACCAAGCCTTTGTAACAAACATTTCAATTGGTTAAAATTGCATCATGAGATGCAGAAAATGAAAAGCTGTTGTTTCAATTACTTAGGTATTTATGCACCATTCCTTTGTGCTCTGACCATTTTTGTAAACAATGGGTACAATATAGTTTTGCTTGTGTTACTCGAGATTTATTAATATTTTGAATAAGTCTGTAAATTATACAAATTTAATTCCATATTTTGAAGTCAAGAAGATTGAAAATTGATTACACACTGTGCAAAAAATATAAATGGCCTTTAATCAGCTAAAGTAATTCAATTCATGCTGTGTTTAAAAAAATATTTAAGTAACATTTTATAGAAATCCTTTAAAAATATAAAGTTATATTTCTATTTTTCATATATTAAGATATTCTCATTACTGTATTTATCGCATATACTGGGACACAATAAAATATTTTTTTTCTGTCCCAGAACTTATGGTGAAACTTTGTTTCTTCTAGGTCTTATGTCCCAAAATAAATTTGTATTGCATTTGCACACTGCATGCACATTGAAATAAAATAGATAAACAAAATGCTTATTTCATAATAAAAAGAAAGAAACTAACCTTGTATTATTATCATTTATTCCTTTAAGTATTAAATAATACAAAGCAAGCCAACCTCAGAAACCGACTTCGGTTACTTATTTAAATTAAAGAATATCAATACAAAGGCTATTTTATTGTTGAGCTTCTGACTATGGATTCTTTAAAGAATGCCAATGTTTTGAGGTTTTTTTAAAAGACAGCCAAGATATGGAAACACATTTTGCTTCCTTTTCACCAGTATTTGAAAATAAATTGAAATAATGGTACAACTTTTAAAGTGACACAATATGGTGCTTCTTAAACAGATGTCCATGACCCAGCATCACCCAGAATATTTGGAGAGAATAAAATCATGTGATGAATTTGTGCAGGCCAGAAAAAAAAACAACATGTTTTCGCAAACAAGAGGGAAATAATTAGCCAATATATTGAAGACAGCCACCCTTCACACATGATACGGTGTTAGGTGCAAAATAATCAAGATTGAATTATAACCAGTATGACAGTATCTCACAAATAAAAATTATTATTTGAAGACACATTCAGTTGAGTGCAAGTGATAATCTTTTTGCCAGCACGGGTTACAAAAGTATCATTACGGTTTACCTGCAGACATCAATGCTCCTTTTGGATTAATTATAATTAAGATGCCAAATGCATAGAAGTCAGGGTATTGAATAAACACAACTGGCAGTAAGCATTAAACTCCTTCATTGAACTTACCAACAGGACATCAGAGATAAAGGTTATTTTTATTACACTGTATGAGAAAAATATGAACTGAAAATATGGATCGTATGTGTGCAGGAGAAAGGTTGTGTTGATGAGATGTTGCTGCAGTGAACTATAAATTTTAATTTCAAATACACAGTTTTATATTTTTTAAATAAAATTTCAGTTGGAGTGCATTTTCCAACATGTAATTTTCAAATGACTTAAAAGGTGTCCCACAAGTTGTCTCAAAAAAAATGTGTCCCAAAACATACAGTGCAGAAAAAAATTACTTTAAAAGTTGATTAGTGTCCCAAACTATATGGTATCTCAATATATGCGGCAATTATGGTGCATTAAAGTTTGATATATATTGCTGTACTCTGTATAATGTGGCTCTGTAGTTATGGACCTGACTGCCATGTTATAATGAGGGAGAGCTATATCAACACAATTGTCTTCAGGCATTAATATCATTATTGTATATACAATTTTGTTGCTTTTGTTTTAATGCTTTTGACTGGTTTATAATTGATAATAATTTTAACTGCCAGTAGCAATAATTTCTGTAATTATCAAAAATCATTTTGGACCTTCATATATGCAAACATGATCTGCAGAGCCTGTAAGTATCACAAACAACAGTGATAATGCATGCATTGCTGCCTCTAAATATCATAATGCAGTCTTTATTGGCGACATTACCATGGTTAATGTCGTAAACATTTTAAATATCTTTACTAATATGACATTTACCGGCAGGATTGGACTTTCAAATTCAGCAATGTGTGCTGAAGACCCCATAAATGTCACAAATGCAGATAAATGACCATGTGCCCACTTTACCACGCTTTCATACATTAAGCTATTCTCAATATATCACAGTTCCATATATATCACAGTATTCTGTATAACACAGTTCTAAATTGGTAATCATACACCCTGACTAATATGTTACAATGAAGGAGAGCTGTATCAACAAATTTGTTGCAAGTGACATTTGACAGTAATGATGTATACAAAACTACCAGAAATTGTCACAGTGTGATGTCTGCTGGTGACCAGTAAATGTCATAAACATCATTCCTGAAATATGTGATATTTACTGGCAGGATTGCACTAACAGTGTTTGTAATGTACATGGCTGAACACATAAATGTCTTAAATAGAGGGAAATATCAGTGTCTAATCTGAAACAAGGACACAATCTTCAAAAATGTGCTACACCTCACAGCTTAAAAAAGGGGGCATTTATCTACTTGTCCATTTTTGAAAACTTATTTCCCTTACACATTTTTAGACCCATTAGACATTCATTAATGTTGAAACTACACCTTCATTAATGATCCAAAAATACACTTATGTTATTGTTCCAACAGCACCTTCATTAATGTGGAAACTATACCTTCATTAATGTTACAACTACACCTTCATTAATATTACAACTACACCATCATTAATGTTACAACTACACCTTCATTAATATTACAACTACACCATCATTAATATTACAACTACACCATCATTAATGTTACAACTACACCTTCATTTATATTACAACTACACCTTCAATAATATTACAACTACAACTACACCATCATTAATGTTACAACTACACCTTCATTAATATTACAACTACACCATCATTAATGTTACAACTACACCATCATTAATTTTACAAATACACCTTTAACCACTCTGGTGGCCTAGTGGTTAGAGCATCCGCCTTGGATGCGGGAAGTCATAAGTTCAAACCCTGGCCAAGTCATAACAAAGACTTTAAAAAATGGTAATAACAGCTGCCTTGCTTGTCATTCAGCATTAAGAGGTTAGTGTTAGGACTGGTCGGCCTGGCGTCAGGATAATGTGACTGGGTGGGTCATCATGCCACATGTCTGCGGCATGATGCCCCAGTGCTAGACATCACTATAAACTGTCACACTGCAGACATTTTAGCAATGACTGAAAATTTTTTAAAGCTATATTAAAAATCTAAATTACACACACACTACACCTTCATTAATATTACAACTACACCTTCATTAATTTGAAACAGTAGTACACATACATAAATGTTGAAATAACACCTACATTAATGGTGAAACAAGACTTACATTAATGTTGAAACTACTTTTAATGTTGAAACTACACCTTCATTAATGTTGAAACTTCATCTTCATTGCATTTTTCTTTGTCTTTAGGGGTTTCTGTACACCAGTAAATGTAACCTTGTTGGACAAATATTTTATACAAACACTTTTATCCATAGTATGAAACTATATATGGTTTTTTTTGTGAATGCCAATTACAGTCACTATATTGACAAGCAAGTTTACAGCATAGTATCAAAATTAAATGTTACAATTTATTTTTTTTACTCAGGTAGCTCTTTTTAAAGCCATCAGTTAATGTCATATTGTAATGATTATGGGTAGAAAAGATCAAGTATATGTCACAAACACTGACAATAGATAAGCACCAACAGATGGACAGAGGCATATTTATGGGACAGAGAACAGCCATTAACTGTCACAATGCTGGTACATTTTATGACATTTATCAGCATTTGTAATGCTCCCAGGCATTACACTGATAGCTACTATTATTCATAAGACTGAACCTTACATTACAATCATCTTATCCAATTTTCTTCATTTGTAGGTACTTACAAAGTTTAGTTTTAAATACATATACAGAGCTTTAATATTAATATGATTATTAATATTAATTTCAGGAGTTGTTATTGGCTGAGAAATGGGCCAGACTAAACAATGTTCCTTTCCCACCCATAGACCCAACAGTGGTTGATCGAGAGGGGTTGAAGGAATGCTATGTTTTTAAAGACTCTTCAGACCCTCGTTGTCCAATCGTTATGCATTTCCCTCTTGTAAACATCACCTTCAGGGATGAAAAGCTACCTGGTAATATAAATAAAATAATCAGATAAAATAATCAGTTGACGAACTTTTTATGAGAATTTTATTTCATACTTGATATCTATCCATAGAAGAGAAAGCCATGCCTACACATCGAAAAAAGCATATTTGTATTTATTCATAAAGATTGGGATTTTTACAAACATTTTTCTGGCTTATTAGAGACTACTTTTAATTTATAGTAAAAGCTTTACAAAAATGAATTGAATGGTAGTGAAGTTACAAATATTTAAATTGCTACAAGTATTATGAGAACTTTTATTTAGGTGTGAGACCTTCACTGAACTCTATTGATTGATTGTCATACAAGTATAGTTTCCTAGGCATGCTTTTGTAATGATTCACACACAACCCATCTTGAGACTTGTTAAACAATAGTTGATTGACATCTGATGATGGTAATTACTAATTGCTTGATAGCAAATGGCAATATCCATTATTTCCATGTAACACTGGCCATCTTGAGAACCTTGTTTTCACAAAGCCTACATGGAGTTTGCACCAAAAGACTTGTCTAGTTTGTCCTAATTGAAAATGGTGCCAATCTGATCTCCAGTATGGTTGCCACAGTGGACATCTTGAAAATCTTGTTATTGTTGCTCATCTGAACAGAAAGTTTTAATGAAGTGGTTCACTAGCAGACTTCTAATTTCTAGATGGTCATGAATGAAAATAGAGCTGATTTGATCTCCAGCACAGCTGCACCATCAACCATCTTGAAACAGCATGTTATAACTGCTCCTCCTGAATCTATGGTCGTATCAATATAGGGTTTTCACTAAACGACTTCTTATGATATCTAGTTGGTCTTGAATGGAAATGAGGCTGATCTAATGAACTACTATGATCAGCACAGTCACCATCTTGAAATTATTGTTATCAATACTCCTCCTGAATGGGAAGTCATACTAACATGGGAAGTCATATTGACATGGAAAGTCATACTAACATGGGAAGTCATATTGACATGGAAAGTCATGGATGTATCAACACTGAGCTTTATTAAACAACTTATTATAGTGTTTAGTTTGTCTTAATGACGCTACTCAGAGATTCAGTATGTCTGCCACAGTGACCTTCATGAAAGTAAATGAATGTGGTGCCAATTTTACTTATAATGTGGCTGTTCACAATGATGTACTGTCTAGTTGGTACTAAATAGAAATGGTGTCAATTTAATAATAAATATGTCCACTACAGTATCCATCTTGAAAATCAAAGTTGTGTTGCTTGTCTCAAACAGAAAGTCATATCAACATGGGTTTTCCACCAGATTTCTTTTCAAGCCTTTTCAGGCTGAAATAAAAATGGGGCCAAGTTGACATCCAGTATGTCTGTCACAGAAACCTTTTTTTTTTAAATTGTCATTGCTGAAGAAAATAAAAGATGGTTTTAACACACCAAAGTTAAAAGGAAGTTTTGGTTTAATGTTTTTTTTCTGGAAATTTATTTCAACAAGGAGAGAATCATTCAGTTAAAGGTATTCTTGATATGTGAATTTTTTGTTAAAAATAAGAGGGGTATTAACTTATTACAACATTTAGGTATTACAATAATATGGTATATTTTTGTAGCTTGCCAAAGTTAAATTGTATTTTCTATGACAGTAGAGACCAGTTATCTTGACTTTTCCCATTTTCTAATACTTTTCAGGTGTACCAAGAGAGACAAATGAGGAACTGGAATTTGCCAAGTTTGACATTTTTGATGACCCAGAGAGACCGTACTCCACTTTCAATTTCAAATACAGCAATAAAGCCTTTGATCGTCTCACACATCTAACTGAGTTCAATACACTACTTTGTCAGGATCTCATCTTGGAAAATATCAAAATCTGTATTGAGAAAAACAAAAAGTACCATGCATACAGAATACCAATCAAATTGAAGGACATTAAAAAATTGAAGCTTAAGGACAAAAATAATGAAAATCTGTTGCGTGACTTTGTTCAATCGTTTGATGATGGCGATGAAGATGTACCCATTTCGTAAAAAGCAACAACAAAAATGTAGTTCCTGCAAGAAGTGTTTCTTGATTTTGAACTCAAAATTCGGCAGCAAACCAAACGTAAATGGCGTTAATTGGATCATGCTATACTGAAAGTCTGTGGTATTTCATTTTAGAAAAGGCCAAGTGAGCTTATGGTATGGTCTTTCATATACTTTACATTATCAGTTGCCAGTCAGCAAATCTTTATTTTTGCTTTCTACTATAAAAGAATGGACTGATTTCAACCAGACTTTAAGGTATACTGGCATGAAGGCATTTCAAGCCGATACAAATGATGCTGATCTAACATCCAACTGTATTAAATATACAGAAAAACCTTTCAATGGCTTCTAAAAAATAAAACTGTTTAAACAAATTGACTAAATTTGAGAAAAACATCCCGGTATGAAAGATTTTTAAGTTTGTGTGGGTGATGCCAATATGGAATAACTCTGAAGTGATATCTAAAAAATCTGAAAATAATATGACCAACATTGACAACATGCATCTTGGCATAAGGTGCTTTCAGTTTTTTACAAATGATTTAATATACAGCTGACATAAACACACAAAACATGGCAAAACATTTAAATGACTTCCTCACCAAACCACTCACACAATTTGAACAAAATTTGGTAGGAAGCATCCTTGCATGAATGGTTTTCAAGTTTTCACAAATAATGCTGATCAGTTATCCAATATGGCTGCTGTTACTAAAAATAGAAAATTTAACAATTGCTTCTTAAAAAGATCTTGACTAAATTTGTCAGAAAACATTGTAGCTTGAAAACCTTTTTGATGTATGCAAATGATGCCAAGTCAACATCGAATATGACCAATCTAACTATAAATAGAAAAAATATTTTAATGAAATTGCTAAATAAAATACACTGGATGGAATTATTCAGAAGGCATCCTACTCACACCGATTTCTTGGCTAACTGCTCTTGCATTTGGCTACTTCACAGATGATGGCCATCTGAATGATCTTAGATCCACTTGGATTTCAGGTTTCAAAGCAATCTCTAGTCAACAATGGATGAGTATACAGACTGAATGCAAACATATTTCTTCAGCTATCTGAATAAATCCACCTATGATAAAAAGTTACCAGAAAAATGTGCTAGGTTTTTGTATGGAAAACAGTCATACAGACAATGGGGACCAATAATTGTCAAAGTAGAAAAATGTGAAAAATGTATATAATGGCAAGTCTAATGGATATAAGGGAATGTCTAATGGATATAATGGCACATCTATTGGATATAATGGCATGTCTAATGGATATAAGGGAATGTCTAATGGATATAATGGCAAGTCTATTGGATATAATGGCATGTCTAATGGATATAAGGGAATGTCTAATGGATATAATTGCAAGTCTATTGGATATAAGGGAATGTCTAATGAATATAATGGCAAGTCTATTGGATATAATGGCATGTCTAATGGATATAAGGGAATGTCTAATGGATATGATGGCAAGTCTAATAGATATAATGGCATGTCTAATGGATATAATGGCATGTATAATGGATATAATGGAAAGTCTAATGGATATAATGGCGAGTCTAATGGATATAAGGGAATGTCTAATGGATATAATGGCAAGTCGATTGTATATAATGGCATGTCTAATGGATATAATGGCAAGTCTAATGGATATAATGGCAAGACTAATGGATATAATGACAAGACTAATGGATATAATGGCAAGTCTATTGGATAGAATGGCATGTGTATTAGATATAATAGCATGTCTAATTGATATAATGGTATATCTATTGGATATAATGGCAAGTCTATTAGATATAATAGCAAGTCTATTGGATATACAGTAAAA